ACAAACGAAGAATGAAGTGGCAAACTAAGCTAATAAATTCAAGGAAAGTAGACAGTGGGTTCTAGACGGGAGATATTTAAGTAATTGCATTTGTTCTCAATCAAAATTTTATTTTAGATCAAGTTATTTAAGCTTATGTTTCCTTTGAGGGGCAGTAGGTTCAGCCTGAGTTTATTGTGAAATTATGTGTTAGAATTGAACTTAAAAAGGATGGTCGAAGTAATGAAGGTATCCGGAACTTGCAAAAACAAGTTTTGGCGACTGTCTCCGATTACAGAAAGAAGTTCCAACCATGATTTTGTCTGTTGTCTGGCATACTAGTAATATTATTTTCCACAAAATTACCCATTTTCCTTCTCAGTGCACCAAAATGTGTGTATATGGCGGAGGAAAAAGGGTGGGCAGTACGACGGAATCACATGGTACTCGGATTACTATTCTTGTACATTGAAAAAAGTTTGACTTAACCTGAACGCTTATTCTTCTAGAACCTTCCAATGGAAATAAATTTGTTATTAACTTTGTTACGCTATGAGCACCAGCCTTCTATGAGTATGCGAGCGTAGTAGACTAGTTTAACAAAGGGTAAGTCATATATTGTTACTGTAAACATTGGCGTCATGTTTACAGTAAAGCCCTCAGTAATCAGTATACATGTTCATCATCTCAGTTTCACAACTTTGGGGGAGTTTGATAAGTTAGTTCCGCCGTACTGTCCGCCGTATTGTCCGCCGTACTGTCCGGTACAGTCATGTACCCCATGGTATCAGGTACTACTTTACGGTTTTCAGCAAACTCAAGATGCAGGCTGAATCCCCAAACCCAACTTTACTATATATTTTCAGTATGATCGTTTTATGAATTTTTGAGCCAATATCATGGTTTTCGAATAAAGCAATTAATTTAATTTGATTAGTGTTGTTTGACATTCGGGATATAAAATCTTTTACAAAAATTAATTCCCCGTCTTTTATTTGCTTCATTACCTTACAAGACATTTTTGTGGCGGACCAATGTGCGACGACCGAAATTTTGGCGGTCCGAAAATATGGCGAAATTGAACAAAAACCGTCACATTTCGGACGTCACAGAAAATAAGGGTATTTTTCATCATTTTGTTTTCTGACACAAAGGAAATTCAAAATTTTCTAAAAATCGGTAAAATCATGTTGAAACAAAATGAAACTTATAAATCGATTTCTTCATCTTCCTCTAAGGGGTCCGGCTCGAATCTTTCAGTTTCACTTATTGAGTTTGGTATTAAATTGTTTATCTTGACTTAGTCTATAAGACGTTTATGTTAGCACATAAATGTAATTTATTGTAAATTTAAAACGTATAACTTGACATTAAATTCATCATGGAATATTGTGTTTATTTGTCCCACCATCATATCACTAACTTTTCAAGAACAAAATGAATCGATGAAGCCACAATTGTCAATTATTGGAATAAGCTAAAAATAATGCGACGGATTCTATTACGACGACCGAAATTTTGGCGGTCCGAAAATATGGCGAAATTTCGGGAAAACCGTCGCATTTCGTACGTTATAAAAATGTCTTGTAAGGTACACGATTATACGAATGCTCTTCCCTCCTAAATCTCGGACAACCAGTAAATTTCCCGCTCCCAAATATTGACGAGTCACAACACCACATCCGACCACAACTCCTCCCTGTTCACTTGACATTAAATAACTCTTCACTCGCACAATAAACAATTAAACCTGAATGTCGTGTGGTGTTTACCACCAGAGCATACAATAAGAAGCTTTAATAAGAGAGTCCAGATCATTTGTACAATGTTTGTATCAGCAGGCTTAAAAGGCGGATACCAGTGGAGTTTGCCTCTCCGAAAGACGGCACAATGCCACAATTACGAAGGAGGAACATCGAGCAGCACTCGCTCATTGGTTACTTACTAATTTAAAAAACTTTGTGAGGTTTTATTTTCGACCAAATCTTCCTGACAGACAGTTGTGATTTATTTAGTTGTGGTCAAAAGATCTCCTAGAAAATGAGGGTGCTGCTAGTTCTGCTGGTATGTGTGGTCGGTCTGGAAGGAGCAAAGCAACCAAAGCTTACAAACAACGAATATGAAGCGTTTGTTGGAGCCACTGATGAGGCCATTATTATGGACGACCCGGTGGCAATCAAAGCAAGGAAGATGAGCAAGCTTCTTAAAAGGCAAGATGTGGTCGCTAACTGCCGTTATCTCCTCTTCAAAGCATACAAGAACTACACGGACGCCAAAAGTTCATGCAGAAACCTGGAGTGGCCCTTCACCCACAAAGGTGTTGACCTGGCAAGTGTGAACAGCGAGGAGGAGAACAAGGAGATCAGGATCCTGCTGCAGCTAGCTCACGGTGTCAAACAGGTCGGGAAGCTCTACAACAGAGACAACTGGGTCTGGGTTGGGTTGGAGAAGACACTCAACAACAAGGTTCTGCTAGCTAAAGAAGAGCGAGGTCCCGAGAACTACAACGCCTCAGAATGGCAGTGGTTGGACGGTACCCACCCCAAGTACACCAAGTGGATGAGAGACATGCCGGACCAGGGATACAAGAAGAAATACGATGATTTCCAGAACCACGTCATGGTTAACAAGAGAGGCCGATGGGACGATACCTTCCCTGAGATTGAGGCACCCTACGCCTGCAATTACTGTGGAAAGTACATTGTGGTTGCAGAGCACGTGACCTGGTTCCACGCCAAGTCTGCCTGCGAGTCCTACGGTCTGACCATGGCTATAGTGAACAGCATGGCTGAGAACATAGAGTTGGGCTGGGCTGCCAACATCACCTTCGGGTCGGACCCGGAACACAAGAGATGGAACAACACTAACTGGATCTGGCTGGGAACTGAGGAGATAATGGACGCGGAGGATCACGGAACTGGGGAGTGGATCCACCATGATGGGAGCGAGCTGGGATGGAACCCCGTCTGGGACAGGAAACTACAACCGGACAACAGGGTCGCTAAGAGGGGAGAGCAGAAAGTGGTGGCATTCTCAAGGATCAACCAGAAGTGGGACGACTCTTTCACCTGGAGGAAACGACCTTTCGCTTGCATGTGCCCTCACAGGTCATGTCACTTCCCCGAATAGACGAGAAAGTGAAGAGTAGTGATGTTAGTGTACGAGGAGGAGGAGGTTAGAGGCACTGATGAACTACATTGTGAATTTTACTCTTTGAACACAACTATATTGTCGGTTAATTAATGGTCTAAAATTTTATTTGAAGAGTTTTAGAAAAATTTCTAGTGACGGCTCACCAATATTTGAATTCTTGAAAATGTCGCTAGCTGTATGCCTGCAAAAAATCTATCGTTTTCGATTTCTATGATACGAAATATGTATTGAAATTATTGTAACATGATAATATTGTGCTTTACGTTTTAGGATAGTTATGATTTAGTATTTCATTTTGTGGATAAGAACAAACCCAGTGCACACTATTTTCAGTTAGTTCGAACCAAACGTTAAATTCGGCCATTAAAACACGAATACCTACCGCAATTTATCAATAAAATCAGGGCGCCCTGTCCTCAAAGGACCCCATTCATCTTCATTATAATTCACGGTCAATCGAAAAATTACAGAGATTTTCATTCCACGTAACGATGTGATAACATGATGATTATTCAGAAATAACACGTCTGATGACACGTCTGTGAGTCGTTGCTGATAAAACTGATATTAAAGAATGGGTACTGCGGAGTAGGTAATTTCAGGTGGGCCGATACCATATTATCGAGATAAGATGTTGTGAAAATAAGGTGCAAAAACTTAAACAGGAGGTCATTCCAGAAGACGTGATTAATCATTTGCATTATCCTCAATTCTGTAGATCAATAGATACAGCGCGACCGATTTTGTGATCGTCTAGAGCCTGATGGATCATTAAATTTGTCAAAATGGAGAGGACGGAGGACACAGACATCTAAAATTTGGATTAAATAATATCAGATCATCATAATATCATAGTACAGTTTCAGGAGACTATCTAACATCAAGGTGTTAGAATGTTGGACTTAAGTAAAATAATCACAAAACGTACAGACCAATAAGCGTACAGAGAGCTGAAATTTAAGTAAACAAATTTGTTGCTGATTTACGCAATCACTTTTTATGCAAGCTAACCAAAACAAAATTTCTGATTTGATTGATCACATGTAAAGCTATTACATCACTGATCAACTGGAACGCGGTGGTCGTTTGTGTGTACACGTGATTTGTAACTTGGATTTTTATTGGTCCCCTCAAATTCCGATTTATCAGTTCGTCGCAGCGGGAGACTTAAATGTTTTGAAAACAAAATGTGATCAGTAACAGAGTCCCACAAGTATACAGTTCAGAGCACATGTTATCTGATGATATTACACCGGTAGGGCACGGTAGGGGAGTTCCAGTTCTCATAGACAATCTTTCCATTCTTTACGGGCAAAAACAATCTATAATCGAAACTTCTATGCTTCTACTCGCGACATGTCCTTTAATAAACACAGTGTTGGCACAGTTATGGGCTGATGACTGCAGAAGTAAAATACAGCATGCATCACGCACCATGAACTTGATGACATGAAGTGAGCTAAATCAAAGCTCAGTTCACCGTTCCAACGCCGTGCAGCGCGGGAAATTTCAAAAGTATAGTTACAAGCACCAGGACAGCACTTTGAGTGCAAATGTTTACCTTTACAGCTACAGTACTTACGAACTTTACTTGTAACGTTGTAAGTACATAAAGTGCGTGTTAAGATAAACACACGAGTGATTTGTACTGCATCAGACTAAGAAGCAGAAGAAGTGAAATCCGCTATAAACTGGTAATCTCGCTAGTTTTTAAACTCTAAACACCAAGCAAGCATGTCAGAAATCCCCTTACGATGATTCTTATTAGTGAGCCGCATTACACTTTAGTGCGGAGGAATTAAAAATAGAAATCAAATAACTAAATTACTTATTAGTTTTCTATTTAACTGAAAATATTAGTTATTGACCTGGCTGATCTCCGAGAAGGATATACTGGAGGATTCCATCATTTCCCTTGTCAGCATCGGTTGCTTCAACTTTCCCAATAACCCTGAAATCGAGATCAATGTAACTTCATGGTGATTTCCACACACTTACACACTAAATGATTGCCAGTAAATCACTTCGAAAAGTTTCGAATAAAAGTTAAACATGACTAACTTGTCTTGCTCCACGGGGTCGTATGCATCGAAAGAGAAGATAGATTTAGTAAATTCGGGGGCAAACTCATTGATACCTTCCACTTTCACAGTAACAGTAGCGTCTGTAGATTGATCGTGAATATTTGTGACGCTGCAAGTCAACCTGAATCAATAGATACTGTTAAATAGACATATTATATATACTCTATAGAGTGGAGAAAAAAAATGTATCTTCCATTTCCAAATCCCTTGTTTGGTTGAGTTTTTATAAGATCATATCCCAGAAAGACAGAACGTTTGACTTCCAAATATTCTACAAGATCAACTAACGAGTAAGATTGGTGTTGTTCGTAGTCCAGTTGGCTGGTAGTGGTGATGACCCCACTCTCTCCGTCTATCACAAAGACAGACTTGTAGTTTTCGTTTTCTGCATCCCAAGATAACTGGTACCTGGACGAAGAGGTAGTGTGGGTTTAATTAGGATAATTAAGAGGTAGTGTGTGTTTTATTAGGATAATTAAGGCTACCATTGGTTTGTAATGTGGTGCCAAGATCATTGTTCTATTTAAAATGGTCAACGTCTTTCTTACCTAATGGGACTGCTAGAGGACCCAGTACACTTCCCTGCGGTACTCCCGACTTCAGCTGTCTCTGACAACTTCTCTCCTGGTAAGACATGACCATATTAGGAAGTATAGCAAGGGAGTTTACCATTTTACCAATGACATATATTCACGGATCATCAAATTGAAAAGTAAATCATGTTAACATTGAAAGGCCATAAATATGTTACACTCAAATCATAAATATATTTGGCAAATTAATTGCGTTTAAAATATTCATGTCACACACGACGTATTTACCATTTTGTGAAACTAAGGGTGCCTGTCCATCGTCTTTATAAACATTTACTACGAGATCTGTAGTGGTGACATATCTTCCATCTGATGCTCTGACCTCAGAAGTTAGCTGTGAAGAAGAGACCCCTTTCAGGGTGTTGAAAATGCTTATCTCTCCTGGCGAGAAAGTTTGTTCAACACTGATTCTAGTTCTAGTTTCTACACTAATTTTCGACGTATTCGGTTCAAATATTTCGACAGTACCAATTCGACCTGATCATTCATGTATCCTTTAAGAAATAAGAACTGCAAGCCGATTAATTTATGAAAGTAAACCTGTTTCTGAATCTATCACAAAATATGGACTAGATATTGCGAATGTGATAGTATCGTCAAGGTCTGCATCCATTGCTTCTACTTTTGCAACAACCTGTAACAGTTTAGGATACTGTTTGAAAGCTATTTGGATTTATAATCTCTTTTACGCATTTTCTAATAATTCTTCGTTACTGTTATTTTATGAACAAAATCGGAATTTCTTATTCAACCCTATAACAATAAAAGCTATTTTCAAATTATCTGTAGCAACAAAATCCAACCTGATCAACAGAAGCCAGCTCGGATAGGTCCACTATATAAGGGGTACTGAGAAAGACAGGTTTAGTATCACTGACATCTAAAACCTGTATCTGTATTTGTATTGTATCGTTGTGGATATGATCGCTGTCGTACACAGCTACTTCTATCATGTAGTGGTCTTCAGTTTCTCTGAAATAAGGTTTTGGTTAGAACTTTTGAGGGTTCTGATTTTTCGGAACTGTGAGATGAAACTGTGCTTGGTACTGGTAGTAAATAAGGTTTGGTGGTTTTGATGCCAAGGAGGAGGGGGAAGTTTTGATATTGTCGAATGTTTTGTTAATAATTTTCTGGGAAAATAAATAGAGACGAGGCAAACATTTTGGCACAATGGCGATGGATGGTTTGTGTGATGGAAAAATGGACCGGTACGGGTAAGCTTGGAAGGTAACCGGGAATTAATATGGGGACTTACTGATTTACCGAAACTTTCGACTACAATATACTTCATACTTCAAGAGACAGTACTATGCTAATTAGTGCACGAATTTGATCACGTGATAAGAAGTTTTGTGCCCCGAAAAGGAGTAATGACGGCAAATAAGTGAAATGTGTGTCACCTTTATGCTTGTTGGACAGCCTGTCGTGATTTGTGACATTTCCTCCAAATTTCATCTTTACCAAAATCACTAAACTATTCCATTATTAATTTTAAACATTTAACCCTAACTTTTGAATACGAACCTGTTTTGATAGGACTCGAAAGGTTAAGAAAGCGTCTACGATATTTCTAAAAGGGCCGGATATCATAAGCTTCTCTATTGTTGGTTTCCATTAATGCCATAATATGCACTTTAATGATCATTTTATGATCATATTTTACTCATTTTAATCTTCGTAGGTGGCCATAGTCACACACATAGAGTTGATCACTTTGGAGTGGTAATCAGTGATTGGAATGTAACGCCCAGTAGTAACACTAGACATTCAGCCTGATATCATCTACCTCCTGCTGAGAACATGTTTTTTAGCACACTGAACACTGAGATTGGCTCAGTTTAAAGGACACACTGAACATCGAACACTGAGATTGGCTCATTTTAGTATATTTCATTTTTTATCAATAAAATAATCAAAATTTAGGAATCGGTTACCAAGATCGAGTTCAAAACCTGAAGATAATGGTTCGGTACCTTGAACGATATTTAGAAATGGAAAACTTAGTCCCCTGTTTCAAAGTAAAGGTGTTATATGCGTATGAGATAAAGGACCTGTCATTTTAAACAGGGTAATTTAGTCCCTGCTTCGAATGATAAAGGTGTTATAAGCTAATATAATAAGATAAAGGAGCTGAACCAACGACGGGCTTAACTACTGGTTGAGTTCACCACGCCTCTAAGGATTCTGTTAAACAGGGTTAATGTGGATTGTGGTTTAATGTGAGGGCAACGAGTCGTTTATAATGAGTATGGTTAATAAATATTAATGTAATATACATCATGTGTAATATATATCATGTGGCAAGGCGTCCTCCAATGTGAACGCGAGTGTCAAAAAGAGTTTCAATAACTTGATTCGTAGCTTTTTGAGAAAACTTATTTAACAGAATATCAGAATATCACAAACCATCTGATTTATTATATGATATATCTGTGTCAAGTTTTCCGTGAGCGACGTATTTAGTCTCTGCCAAGTCCCAGTTACCCTGGTATAAAGTGTGAACCAGGTATGTGGGAGTTCATGCTCTCTTCCCACTGATGACGTGTCACACGGTGTCACACTGTCACACAGACACCCTGGAACAAGGCACTAATTACCTCTTCAGTCTTCACCTAGTCTGGTTCTGTGATGCTGATCTACTCTCAGATCATCAGCTCAGATAGCCCTGTTAGCTCACCCTCTCTCAGACATACAAGGTTTGTCCACATTATCACGTAACATTTACAGATTTACGTTAGGGGTTGAGAGTAGGGCGGGTGCCAAATGTACCGAATAACGGTTTAGATAACAGCCTCGGAATAAGGTGACAGTTTTACTACTAAAATTGGGGACCGGGGCTTATCGAATCTCAGAAAGTTTACAGCCTCAGATTGGCAGAGTAAATATGTTATGTAATGAGTGTATTAATGTATGACGTCTGAGTAATGAAACTCTGTGGAACGCAGGTGGGAATGTTAAGAATGTACCACAGCTGGTGCTACGGTTAGTTCTGAGTTTACAGACATTGTGGGACCAGGATCATGTTTCCATGGAGTCTGAAAACTCTGACATCCACCACCTAATAAAAATGCAGTATTCACAGATTTATCCAATGGGAAATGAGCAGCAGAGTCTCGTGACATAGTTTTAGAAACTTCTATAGAGCGATGTAGTAAGTGCTGGCCGGGGGACGGCTGTGTTATAACGTCAGACATGTTGAGGATTTCATGGGGAGTTCTCAAAATTACCCACTTACAGAATACTGGTGGGTGTCACCATGGTAACCCCTGACAATACCCATTAATCACAATATTCACAACTTCGTGTGAATACCGTATTATTATGTTTTAATATTGCTACCTTGCTGCATCTCTCATTAATTTGGCAGACACAAACATCTCCCTAATTTGATTCAAGGACCCCAGCTATCTTACTCGAGCATTGTCTGGGTCCTTGAACAAGGCGTGTTAAAGCTAACTTGGTGTGTTACCGTAGTACTCAGTAATCTCGACTAGTTAGTGGTTGATAATCTTCCAACAAACTCGGAAGAGTCGGTTCCAGGGTGATCAGGTGTTAACCCTTTGCCTGCTAGTGACGTCATCACATCACAACACATGGCACGATAATGTGGACATGGTAATTTTAAATGTTAACTAGTTAGTAGCTATGTTGGGATACATCCCTGATATAAACCACATGGTGGAACTGGAGAGTGTGTGGGAGTGGCACAGGAACAACCCTCCCAATTTAAGAGTTTGGCGGCCAAATTTCAGTATGAAATTTTGCAAGGTGATCTGTAGCAAAACAAAAAGTTTCAGTTCACTAAGCAGGTACGGATCATGCTGAAGAATTATTTGTGAAGTAGTTTTAAGTTATTGTTGTAATCACGGTTTTTAGTAAAAGCCATATACCCAGGATGTTACTTTACTTTAATTAGTTGATATTTTGGTTTTATTAATTAAGTTGTTGAGCAACTAATAAATGCTTTTCTTAACCTTTCTTATCCCAATATCATGCCACTTCTTTACTTCATTTCTGAACTTAAAATTTAACTTCTTTCAATCTAGACAATTTGTTTACACGCACATACAAACTAATTACACACTATACACTCTATTATTAAGATCCTGTATACACATCATATTGTGGTAGTTGACTCGAAAAGCTAACGGCGAATGTGGGATTTTGAGTTGATTACTATTGATGTATCGTACGCAAGCAGATTTCAATAATAAACTCTCAAGTGATTGTGAACCTTCGATCTGGTCAGGTTAGTATGAGGTGTTGTACAAAACTGAAAACAGGTTACACACGTTGTACGTGTTGATACTTAATCAGCGTGTGCAAGTGTGGGTAGTGGGTACTGGGTATGCTAAACACAAATTCATCTGGATACAAATCCTTGCGCCATGAGATACCTTTGTTTTATACTCATAGAATAATGCCCCATCTAGGAGGAGTTCGATGTCAAGCTCAAAGTTTCTTAGCCGGCTCTAGTGACTGTTTACAAGATTATGTTTAGAAGTTTATTAGCTTTTTTTGCTCACAAATTGCCATTTTGAACTCTGGTCGAATTTGTCTTGAATTTCGTAACCTTCTCCGCTTTTTACCTATTTCTAGGATACAATCAGCACACAGTGATCAATTTCAAGGCTTGTTTCTTCATCGTGTATCTTTAGAAAAATATAATTCTGCATAGAGGACCCGAGCGTGATTCCATTTCATTTCTTTCTAGTTTTAAAAAAAATGTTTATACGGTACCGATCGTAAGCTTTTCAGAGTAATGGAGCAGGCAAAATGTACTAGAATTTAAAGATGAGATGAGGACGGAAGATGAATGTATTTTGCCGGAATTTATAAATACAGAGATCAAGAAAGATGAAGATGATTTACATATCAAATCAGAAATGTATTCGAATCCTACTTTGCAGATGCAGTATATAACAGAACCTCGTCCACACTATGATTCTACGGTTATCGCTGGAGACACATATAAATATGAAGGCCAAACATCACCACAAAATGTACAAAACAATGCTCATTTAGAACTTAACCAAACTTTTGTTGCCGAAACAGAATGGATGAAAGTAACCCAAAATCAATTAGAATTCTCTGATACTGTTTGCAGTCCCAGCAAAACATCAACATTACCTTCCGATCAGCGATCTCATACCGGCGAGTGTTCCTACAGTGCAAGCAAAAAATCATCTTTATTTTTACATCAGAGGAGTCATACCGGTGAAAAACCGTATAAATGCTCTGAATGTTCCTTCAGTGCAAGCCAAAGATCATCTTTAGTTCGCCACCAGAGGATTCATATCGGTGAAAAACCGTATAAATGCTCTGAATGTTCCTTCAGTGCAAGCCAAAGATCATCTTTATTTTTACATAAAAGGATTCATACCGGTGAAAAACCGTATAAATGCTCTGATTGTTCCTTCAGTGCAAGCCAAAGATCATCTTTAGTTCGCCACCAGAGGATTCATACCGGTGAAAAACCGTATAAATGCTCTGAATGTTCCTACAGTGCAAGCCAAAAATCAAATTTATTTTTACATCAGAGGATTCATACCGGTGAAAAACCGTATAAATGCTCTGAGTGTTCTTACAGTGCAAGCTACAAATCATCTTTATTTTTACATCAGAGGATTCATACCGGTGAAAAACCGTATAAATGCTCTGAGTGTTCCTACAGTGCAAGCCAAAAATCAAATTTTATTTTACATCAGAGGACTCATACCGGTGAAAAACCGTATAAATGCTCTGAATGTTCCTTCAGTGCAAGCCAAAGATCATCTTTAGTTCGCCACCAGAGGACTCATACCGGTGAAAAACCGTATAAATGCTCTGAATGTTCCTACAGTGCAAGCCAAAGATCATCTTTAGTTCGCCACCAGAGGACTCATACCAGTGAAAAACTGTATAAATGCTCTGAATGTTCCTACAGTGCAAGCCAAAAAACATCTTTATTTTTACATCAGAGGATTCATACCGGTGAAAAACCGTATAAATGTAATAGATGTTCCTACAGCGCAAGCCTAAAATCACCTTTAGTTCGCCACCAGAAGGTTCATGCCAGTAAAAAGCCAAACCAATCTTCTGAATGTTCTTATAGAGATAGCCATGAGTCAAGGTTGGTTTCTAATCAGCGGAATGATATCGGAGAAAACTCACATACTTTTTATAAAAGTGGCCAGGCTTCCAATCCTCTACAAAACGATACTGTTGGAGGACCAATAATTTTCGTTAAGCCTCTACCTTTGACGAAGCTTCTAACATTTGCAAAGCCTCTGACCTTATTTAACCCCTTTCACCCCAGTTTCAGCTTACCTCCCAGTTCCTCCTTCAGTTATCAACCAGCATCTCAAATGTCTCACCCTGCAGCTCCTCTCACCTTCTCACCTGGTGAGTCTGTCTTCACACCTCCTCCCTCTGTCTCACCTACCTACTCTACAACAAATCCTCCCCCTCTCATATCTCCAGTCAGTACAGTGGTTACGGGGCGTAAATAACTGGAGCATATCGCTATTGAAATGTATGTAATATCAAACGCCGGGGGATCACTAGTTATAAGTTAACGTACAGTGATCACTGAGGTCATATCTTGTTCCTGAACAGCATTATATCATATATCAGTCAAGACTGAGATTGTTAACAAGTTCAAGTGACACTCAACTCCTACGCATCAAATGAATGGGATAAATAATTGGATTTTGCAAGTTTTCTTCTCTATCCATCCCGAAACCCGGAATTTGAAACTGACAAACATTCCTTTCTCCGATCCCGGCTCCCTTTGTCTATTTTGACATAGAAGTCTGAGCGGCGCGTGGCAGTGGGGTATTGTTTTGTTTGGTGTGAAATATTGTGAAGATATATTGTGTGAAGATATATTCTCTGTTGAAGATACGAACGATCAGTGGAAGATGATGCGTAATTTAGCCACTCTAGTCTGGGAAAAATTACGGCAAATCAATTATTTTCCCCGGAACATCACAGTCAATGATATTGTAGTTGTACCTAACTGGAAGAGATGATTACATTTTCCTTGATCGGTCTCCTCCCAAAAACAAGTCTGGCTTTCTTGTCATCTTTTCTTGAAAAAATCATGGAACTTGCAATGGCCAAATTTTAAAATGTCGTTATTAATTTGCAAGAAAAGATGTGTGAAACATTACTTAGCTTGGACTGCTCGCAATGTTTTTCTTTGTGACAAGCACAAACTTGAATGACAATTGACACGTTTTAGTAAAATAGCCGACTGTTTTACGCGTATTGGGCGTGCTTGTTTACGATAAATAGCAAAACATGATGTTTTAATAGTATTAAATTAGTATAAAAGTAATGACTCAAGAGAACGGAAAGTGTTTTAAAACTGTTTTGTTTACGAATGATAGCACGGTATTTTCTAACAAGCCTGATGATTTCACGTTTAATCGTGACGTGTGAAGTTACACCGCAGATGATGTGATTTTACGTGATGAAGTAGAGATTTACTTGTTGAATATCTAAAATATGAAGTAAAGTTTTAATATATTTAAAACATCTTCCTGGACTAGGGACGGAATGCCAGAATGTCGGAATGAGAGTCACACGTACACAGTGAGAAAGTGTCCCATATAAAACATGGTGTGTGGTCTCCTGCAATAATTCATCTTGTTTGAGGATATTTTTCATTTTTATTTAATATTTTCCTTACGTCATTCGATTTTTTAACGTTGGTTAATCTTTTGGACAATGTAAGTGATAGATCTTCTTGAAGATATATTTAACGTTCGTTGCGTAAAATTCTACAACTAAACTTGAAGATTGTCAGCAATAAATAACCAAAATAATATTTGTCATATAAACGGCAATCTGATAGCGATATCACTTTATTTCGGAAGAAACTGTACCTGTGTGTAGTAATTGAGTTTGCGGATGTGTAATACGCAATAAGGGCACGACATAATACTATTTTGTTTCCCGGAATTTGGATTTTGACATTCTTGAACGATCCGGATCTTATCATAAAAGAGTGCCGAGTTTAAGTCGGAATCAAAACGAAGGAACCCCAAATATATTGAGAATATTGACACCTACAGTTTCTGTTAAATACCAGAGATCAGTTAGAATGACACAAAAACTTAACATTCCCACAACTTAATTATCACCTTAATAACACCAGAATGTGTGTGTGTGTGTGTGTGTCTGTCTGTCTGTCTGTCCGTGTGTAATTTCCGGTCGGTTATACAAAAAAAACGGTAAGAGTTACGGGACTGATTTTTTCGGTATAGTGTCGACAAAACTCTGATGAAGCCCATAGGAAATTTTTTTTAAAATCGGCCGGTGGTAAGTGGTTTTATTGATGGTTTTGTACCACAAATGTTACATAAAGTTGCTTGAGCAGAACGGCAAGAGTTACGGGGCCTGCTCTCTCTTTCTCTCGCTCTCTCTCATTACTGTGTAATATGTTATCTGCTGCATTTAAGTAGCGTCATAATTGGATTAGCCCGGAAGATTTGCTGTAATGTTATACCTTAAGCTTATTAGGGGAGGGAGTACTGTTAGTGTTTGGGGTCTGTTTGGACTGCAGAGAGAGAGAGAGAGAGAGTTCATACGACAATGTTATGCGTGTTTTCAAATATAATATGCGGGTGTGGTGCGGAGTTAACAAGGGTTAATTTCTATAACGATTTAAATAAAAATAGAAAGCGGTTCAGGACGGGAGTGATGAGGTGTAATACTCGGTGTTCAGACCTTATGATCATGGAATGTGGTGCCTAATAATGATTAAATTATCCACAAGAAATAACTGATTATGAGATTATTGTTTAAGAAACTATTGGGTCACCTAATGCGGGTTTTGACTCAGCGGGTAATTACTCCTACCCTTTTTAACTGCGGCAGTGAAATCCCGGCCGTAGGCCGGGTTACACTAGTAAATAATAATATGTAAAAGAGTGTTATACTATTATATCATATTATTATAATATTACCTGTCAAGTAGTACTTTGTTTCTGACCACCCCCGCCACACTATCCACAGAGAAAACATCACTATCAGTCAGCAGAGAGAAAGTCATCTTGTCTTCATCACTCGTATCTACATCTGTAGCTACCAGTGTCGTTATTTCCGACCCTGAGTTGTAGTAAAATTATAATCTATATTATACAAAACGATACAAGAGTAGGTATCTCCCGGTGTCGGGATTTCCTGAGGCTTGCTTATCTCCTTTTTAGTTAAACTCTAAGCCACTTTGTGCCAATTAGTAATCTATATCAGACAGCAATCCACCGTACGAGCAAAATTATTAATTTCGTAGTCCAAAAATCTGATTCAACAAAAAATAAAAACTGTGACTGTGAGTGAGGTTTTACAGTTAATATAGATTGTTGCTAATACCAATATTTTTACCGTAAGTTTATATACCGGGAGATATTTAGTTAATAATTAGTAACCAATTATTTAATAATTAGTTACTTGAGGTTTGAGTGGTCAAGATTGTTAGGTACACAAATAATTTTCAGTTATAGACCGTTAAACACCGAATTTAGTATTAAATAATTAAATTTCGCAACCACAGCGCCCCTTAAATCACCTATTTTGCAGCTATAAAAGAACATGAACTATTTACCTCACGACCTTTTGAAGTTCGAAAAGTTGCTTAACTAATTTGTGCAACTTTACCACTCGCAATGAAACATGACGCAAATCAAGCACCTCCATTTTCCACCATACACAACTAAACACGTGTTTCAGATGTAACCACTATACGGGGCCCCGCAATCCGAATGGTCCATCCTCCTTCGACAGTGACTGGTCATACTCGAGAACTAAAATAAACACTAATTTTGACACCTCACTGCACAGCCCACAGGAGACACAAAAACAAACCACCACCTTCAAGCTTCAGTACTTTCAACAATAACATTGACTCACTTCACGACCGGCACATAACAGAATCTGCTCTCTATTCTTATGCCTGAACAACATCCAACAAGCTCTTATATTTAATAAATATTAGAGCATGTGAATAACTAAGATATCACCTATAATTTACGTCGTTCCATTGCGTATCCATCTCACTCATTCTACACCTCTATTACAGATTACAATTGTTCATTGTCTGTCCACATGCACACGTTATATTGATACTGATAGAGTTGAACTGCCAGCAGAGATAAAAAGGCCACCTAAGTTTCAATAATACAGGGTGGGCCAAAAGTCAGTGTGCAAACGTTGGGTCTTATACCTCCGCCGTGTTTTATATTTGAGAGCTGTTGCTTTGCAGATGGCATACTGTACTTACTGGTTCGAGGATTCCGTCGTCAAAATTTGAAAATTCGAATATTTTAGACCACGCCCATTCAATATTAAAACACCTATATTGTTTTCTCTGAACATGCTGAACGCCTAATTTTTTTAGAAACGGTAGATTATCAAATTTTGCATATGATCTGAAAACATGAGGTAAAACGGATTAGAAATGACGAAGTTATTAAGCATTTTGTGTATCTCGTTAACAAAATTGACTGGGTGATTATGTGACACCATGACACGACACCTTAATTGGGCACTCTTAACAATTCCCATAATGTTTAACGGGGTAGTTAACGGGGTCACCTTATCACGTGATTAGGTAAACCAATCACCTGATCACACGTAATGAATAAACTCGTTATGCTTCATATCTCGGTCATCTGAGAAGCTACAGTTCTAATTCTTTCAGGACAAACGTAATTCGAATGGCCAAACACAATTCAATAACATTTAGCTTGATCCGACTATCCAAACTATCAAATAAATGTGAAAATGAACCTCCATTTGAAAAAAATGAACGCGAATATTTTTCGAGTTGACAAATTCCTCGAACCAGTGGTGGTACTAAGTCATACCAGAAGGAAGTATTTCAATTGGGCACTCAGTGACTGAGCTATTAAGGCCAACGTTTGCACACTGACTTTTGGCCCACCCTGTAGAATATACTGATATTGAAACGTCATGTGCAGCCGTTATTATTCTGTATTGTCGTAATGTGGGCCAAGTAAAGGAAAGAAAACAGTTGAATTGTCGCCTGTCAAGCAAGAGTAGCGCACATGCGGTTTACAAACATCGGCTGTTCATCTGGTACCAGTCTCTGTGACTTCAGTGAAACGTAAATTCATGAGAAATAATTCTAGAAATTTATCTACGACTAAAACAGCTAGTTTGTCGATCAACAATTATTCCATGTCATGTACTCGCTACTGTTCCACAGCCTGCACAGTTCACTGCCCTAGTGTCCTCGCTGTCAAACTCTAAATTTCTCCACTTTCCCACCTGATCACTTTCCCACTTCTCCACAGACTCCACTCCTCACATTCTACTCTGCCCCGTTACTCCACTGCTCTGAGTGCTGCCCTGCCAATATTCTACAGTTGTTCCGGTACTCTATATTGTTGAGTGTGCTGGTGATATTCTGGTAATGAATTGGAGGTTCTTTAACAGCAATTATAAATCCCAGCATCATTATAAGCCCGTCGCAATAAACCCATGACTGACCTTTCAATTGACAGAGGTGCGAACTCTGCGAAGTTAACGGAGAAATTTCCCACTATCTTCATGATTAAAACTCCAGTTTCTCCCTCTCTTCACTGGTCCGACAATCGAGATACTAAATATTTTACCGAGCCGAAAGTTGGGAAGATGCGAATTCCTGACATTGTTGCCATGGCAACTCAAATTTAAGTTATCACGCGAAATATATCATTTCAACAAGCTTCTCCGTGATTTTAATGGAGGGTCGGATAAATGTGTGGAAGGTTTCCAACGCACGCCTCAACTTGGCTAGGTCTCCTAAAACCAGACGTAACTCATTCTTACTCAAGTATGTGTCATGTTCAACTCAATTAGACGTTCATGTAAAATTAACATTGTGATTAGTTTTTGAAATGAGAAAGGCGGATACTTGGTGTCTTTCTCTCACAGAATCTCAGATAGAGGTCACGTGATAACACATTATTAGGTAAGGGTAACTGTGCACGCTAAGATATGGGCAGGGCAGCCCTATTACGACACAGCACATACAAGTTAGCATGTATTTCAATTAAGAAGTTCATTAATATTTATGGGTAGATTTAAAGGAACCATGTTCAAGGTAGGACCTAAGTAGATAATATCTTGATATCCACACTTCTATATACACGACCTACATACATGAAAAGCGGAATGAGCCTTTGAGGATAACTTGGTGAGATTCTGATCTATAACCTGTTCTGTTTCAGAGAATAAGAAAGATGCAATAATTTCAAAAAATATAAAATTGAACCACTAACCTATCCCAACGTCCTCTTTAACAGTGACCAGACCCAGATCTTGCAGAACAGGAGGGTTATCATTAACATCAGATACGATAAGGTTGTAGTTACAGACAGTAGAGAGGGTGTTACTGGTGCTGTTATCTGTTACTGTTACTTCTACTGTCGTGCTCTTTGTCACTTCGTAGTCAAACTCCTTCTGTGGATGGAAATAGTGGTAAAGATATTAATCGTCAGATTATGAAAAAGAAGGTTGAAATTTTGTTGTGTCGTAATAATCTCAACATATCGAATCATAACATTTGTGAGCTGATTTCGATGTTTCACGACTAGTTGTCTCCTAAAGCGAACGATAGTTAAGGCCCCTAATAAGTCAAACTCTAAGAGAAACTGAAGAATTCAATAAATATTACATGTATTTACCTTAACATTAACAGCTCCATCCTCATCAACTGAGTACCTCGCTGTGTCCACTATACTGTAAATCAGTTCTGCATTACGACCTATATCCTCATCATCTGCTTCTATGTTGAACACCTTTCCAACCTGAGCATTAATCAAGACGTCATAATTAATTTAATAACGACATCATGCACAAGGAAGGGGCTTGGTAGCATGGTTAATCTGACATGGTGTCAACTTTCATGCCAGCGTCAAATTACGGCAATTATGTAATACATTTCTGAAATTGGAACCAACTCAGTTGTTTAGTCTAATGGGAGTAAATTAGATCATATTATTATTATTATTTAAAACAAAGAAATAGCTTACAAAGTTTTCAGCAACAGTGAAACTCTGGTCACAGTTAATTATAGAAGGTTCATTATCGTTATCATCCAATACTCTCAAAATGAATTGAACTTCTCTAGATCGGACTGGGGTGCCGCTATCTTCGGCTCTGAGATGTTTTTGGTGATCATGAATCTGATGTTTCAAATGTTAGGAGATTCATGTTTTAAATTTAAGAAAGTGAAACTGTAACCTAGGGGAACACATTCCACAATGAAGTTAATAACTAGAGAAAGTCTCACTTGATTATAAGAGTGTAAGAGTCAGTCTCCTCTCTGTTTAACACTGCTTTAGTAACTATCTGCCCGATATCACCTTGTTTTACTGCGTACTCGAACCTATCACTGTACCCTCCCTCGATTGTAACTGATATCTGTAACATGTATCTGTTACAAAATATACAGGTATCTGTTACGAGAGTGGATTTGTTAAATCTTACTCGTTGTGATAAACTATTATTTAAAATAAAGCTAACATAGTCCGACACGACAATTTAATCAAATTACAAAACAACCTTACAAACAAATCTTTTAAAATTCATAACCGAACCTTGGAATTGTCTCCAGAATCCTTGTCTGATATCTGAACTTTACACACAATACTTCCTATAGGGAGATTCTCCCTCAACTCCACTGTCTCACCGTTTGTAGGGGATAATATCACCGGTCTGAAAATAAAATCAGTAAAATACAGATAATTATGGTGATAAACGACGATTCTGTAATGGCGCAAATCTGGTTGCAACCGTCTGAAGTTATTGTCAACTTATACTACACATTTCCGTCACATTATATCATGGATAAAGTAATAGGTCTCATTTCACTCTCATAATATCTGGGTTCTCATAAAGCTAAGTGAATATTTTCCGTATCAGTAAGCCAATAACGCATATCACCAGCATGCCCAGTACGTTTAGTGTAGCACATTGTACAGTTTTGCTTGTTTTATGTCTGCAGCTGGGAACAACCAAGAAACACCAGGACGATCAGAAAATAATGATAATCTTGATGAAGGAGCAGTATCACCACTGAAAATAGAACAGCCAGACAACGATATTGTTAATGAAGGAGCAACACCTCCACAGGATCTGCAGCTTAGAAGTGAAGAGAACCAAGAACCCACCATCCAGGTTCACAAGAGAGAATGTACACTAGCAACGGAGAGATTAGATAACTTTACATCAGTTCAGCCAGCAACAGAAGATGAAGCAAGAGATGGAGGAGAAGTAGGGGAAGGAGGTTCAATCCCCTCCTACAGACTGACAGTTCAAGAGTTCTTCACCCAGTCAGGGTTAGGAAAATTCCAGTATCTTCACGCCCTGTGTTTCGTCTTCGTCTTCATTAGAGATGGTATGGAGGTGATCTACGCCGCCCTAATCAAACCCTCCCTTGCCTGTCTGTGGCAACTTAACACATTTGAGGGAGCCCTGATTCCGGCACTGCCTGCACTTACATACGCAGTAGGTTCTCAGGTTGCGGGTATAGCAGCTGATAAACTCGGGAGGAAACCGGTTCTACAGGTCTGTCTTGGTCTGTCTCTTACACTGGATATCGGGTGTGCCTTTTCAGAATCTTTCCTTGTGTTTATAATTCTTAGGGCGTCATCAGCCTTCTTTTTGGGCGGTGCTTTTGGGACGGTTCTGACTACATGGATTGAAATAGTCCCTAAAACAAAGAGGTTCAAATCTCTGTTTTACTTCGCTCTATTCTGGACAACCGGAACAGTTGTGGCTGTCGCTGATGGCTGGTTCATGGACAAACATGACCGACTAGACTATCACTTCTTTATCCTTGTTCTCTGCATCCCCTCACTGCTGGCTTTTGTATTTTCCTTCCTTGTGTACGAGACAGCAAGTTACTATATAGCTGCAGGGAAGGTGGATAAAGCAGTTAAACTGATAAAGGAAGTGATAGAGATAAATAAGATGGAACCAGCATCTTACGATGTGCTCTGTGAGGGAATGCACTACGACAGAGGTGCTGTTATCAAGCTCTTCCAGATGCCTTACGCTAAAGTTTCTCTCTGTTTCATGGCTATTTCATATTCTGTCGGTTGGACATTTGGTGGGTGGACTGTTTTGATATCGAGCTTGTTTACCAACGAGTTCTGTACCTACAGGAGCATGTTTGCGTACTCCTCTGAGTACTGTAAAGCGCTGACTGACGAAGCGTACCTTCTCATACTCTTAGCAGTGTTAGGCGGGTACCTGGGATACATCGCAGCTTACACCATTTCCAACAAAACAGGACCTATGAACTATGTTTCAGTGACCTACTTCTGCGCGTTCTACCTGTTTGTTGTGTTGAACTTCTGCTTGCTCCCCTTCCCACTCTCCTACTACCTGTATTATCTGGAATTGTTTTCGACGCGCGCATTGTTGGGAGGTGGATATCTGATGTTGTGGCTTTACACTCCCGTCTACTATCACACACAAGTCAGAGCAGTGGGTGTTGGGTTGGGGATATGTAGCCTGAAGCTAGGGACAGCCAGTGCTGCGGTGCTGATCGCGTATCTTGATATGCCGTTTAAGTTGTATAGTTTCGCTGCGTTTTGTTTAGTAGTGATGTTCCTGGCGGTGGTGCTCAGCGAGCCACGCACACGGAAAATATTGTTTGCAGAAACTGACGCTGTGATAGAAACACGAGATCTGGATGAGCTCTACAAACACCACCATGTTCCACCCTCAGATCTAGGCTGGCACATCCGGAACATACAGATCAAGGAGGGCCAGAACAAGAAGAAAGTAGCGCCGTTTGCTAATGATCACAGTAGTACACACGGGCCTGATTTCAACTGGGTAGATTTAACACCCTCCGCAGCAACAACCACTACTAGTACCAAATCTCTCAAATACAGCTTCAGTGTGGATTCTTCCAGGACACCCGATGCGGAGCTGCCATTGAACGCATTCCGGGGACGGCAAGTGTACCGTGACGCATCAACACCCGGTAAACCAACATTCAACTTTGACCGCTCTATCTATCCAATCAGAAAAGTAAAGAAAGTGAAGGATAAGGGAAAGTTCCACATTAGGCCCATGTCAGTAGCAGGGCTGGTAGACGAGCGGACCTATATTCTAACCCCGACTGAAGTAAGGTCCGAGGGTAACACGCCGGATCCTAGTGCCGCACTGAGGGAGCGTGTTATTGTGAAGAGGACTGTTGTTGAGAGACCTCCGGAGCCGGTATATGAGAATGTGAAGAAGAGGACTCGTGGAAGAAGTTCAGGTAGTGAGAAGTAGAATGTGTTTGAAATCTTTTAACACTGATAATGACGTGCCAAAATAATTTGGATTATGCGTCTTACCACAGATTTCATTACAAATTAATAGTCTTTTGGTTTTCGATGTATGTAGTTTTAAAATGGCAGCGCCGTTATTAACATGATGTAAATATTTGTGGGTGGTATTAAAAACTAATTGAATTTCGAGATTTACTTTTAACATTTGTTAAGGAAATTAAAAAACCACCAAAATCCGCTTCCACACTGTCACTACATATTCATAACCAAACATTTGTAAACTAAATATCTAGATTCAAAACAACTAACTGGTTGTCGTTGACATCCAGCACAGCTACCACCACACTAACGCTACTCTTCCTGGAGACAGTACCACTGTCCTGAGCTTCCACTTGGAACGTGTAACTTGATACTGTTTCTCTGTCCAGCGCACGTGTTACTATTATATCGCCGTTATCCTGGGGCAATAAGTTAAATCAACTTGGCATTTAACAAATCGTTTAAGTAACTAAATAACAGCGCTATAAAAACAAGAGTAGTTTACAAATTTTCATTCGATTTGTGATCCTCAAAATTGAGTTTCTGCACTGGAAATGACCCTCAATTAAGTTCCTATAACGAAGGTCAACTCCAGTAAACACTAACAGTCGACTTACTCGCACAGCAAAAGGTAAGTTATCTCCCAGTAACGAGTACAGAACTTTGCCGTTATCCCCCGAGTCGGCGTCAATAGCCACCACTGTCAGCACTACTGTCTGTGTCCCTGCATCTTCTGCTACTGAATCAGTGTAGGAGGAGGATTCAAACTCTGGTCTGGGAGTGATGTTTGTTAAGTTTCTATGTACCGATCGGGAATAATTATTCTTGAGTCTGTGTTTGAAGACTGTACATTTCTTCTTATATTATTAATTATTTAGATCTTAAATAATTCAATGACTTATTCCATATTTAGCATAATACTCTTATTTATTTATACGGAGTACATAATATTCAGTCCATTATCCATCTATAAATATACCGCACAGAAATTACCCTTACTTTAAAAAACTATACATTTTTTCTTCATTTTCCATAGTTTCTCGCTAATATGCAGATGATTTGAGACTAAAGTTACTGTAGCGAATAATGGCTTTAGAATGTTTCACGTAACTGTTCGATACATATAATAATATTCTGACTCATTAAGTTAAACTTTGAACAATGACAAGCACAAAGTACATTGTTGAAAAAGTGGGCATGCTAAACTCCTTCAGTCGCTGCTTGCTAACAACTTCTTAAATATAAAACTCTTTAAAACTCGGTTAAGTTGCATAAGTCCCATTTAATCAAAACCAATCAGTTTGAGTGGTGTTTGTTTGTTAGACAGTATGGCGAGGAGGACAAGTAGATGAGCTTCTCAACCTCATTAAGTAGATGAGCTTCTCAACCTCATTAAGATCATGAGACTGGTAACCTTTTACTTATCTCCTAATTTTACTGAGCTTCTTACTGTTGTACCACATAACCACATTTAACGTTTAAAATGCACATAAAATATATTCTACTAGTTAAAACTCCTGATGCATCTCGTGTACTCATGAGAAATTTCCAGAAACATTCCACGAAATCCACACATTTTGTCCCACGAATAATATTTGGACTGCAGCAGTAGAATAACAGCATGCATGACAGGAGCGGAAGATGTAGAGTGCAGTGTAAACACGACTTCTGGCTCTACAATGGGGGAGATACTGCACAGCTTATCGACTTGCAACAATGTGGAGAATGGGAAATATGCGGGGCATTGTTAACAAGATCATGGTAATTGTGTTATGATACATTTATATCGTGAGAAGTTGTTTTCTTAACTACACTCAATTACACTTCATGAGCAGTGGGCTGCATTCTATGAATCATATAAATTCAGCTTTAGATCAAAGACATAATATGAATATAAAATGCACATTAAATGTACAACATGTGCTTTAAAACGCCTAGTAATTTGAACCAATTAAGAAGCCCTCACTTGTGATCATTAATGTCGTTAACAGTGACGGTTAACACCAGGGTGTCTGACTTATCATCTTTGTCGTAGGCTCTGATATTCAGCACAAAAGACTTGTCTCCCGTGTCGTAGTCCAGTTCCTGTGAAGATCACAGTTTAAATCAGATTCTGAGGGTTTAGATTCAGAGAGTAGTGGGGAGTGAGGGTTGGTAATCTGGAGGAAATGGAGATATGTGGTCTAGTAGAAATGGAGAATGTGGCTGCATACTGTGTGTTGGATACTCAAGATGTCTAAAGAAGGGTGAATAAGAATGTATAATTTTAAGGGTTGATGAAAGTGTACCTTGATAATTTTAAGCGAAAGTGGTAAAGTGCCCCCTGACCATGTTCCAGTAACGATCTCGAACTTATCTGTGTCTGTCGTCAACTCATATCCCGATACACTGAAAAGAAATGTACATTCATAGATACAAATCACTTAGTTTAACTTCCAGTTTTCAGACCAATTACTCGTTACAATATCGATAAAGTGAAATTTTAAGCCGAAGGAAATTCAGTATCTTCCCGTATTAACTATATTCGCACCAACTATTATCAAAACCTATCAAACAAGTCATACAGCTTGACACAAATCAAATTGATTGAGAAATTGTTGTTATTTAAAACAAGTCTATCATCTTGATCTTACAGCTTATCAATATTGCTGCCTTGGCTTACCTGTTAGGTTGTGTATCTTTGTCAGTGGCACCAACTAGAGGATATTCAACCGGAACTGAGGTCTTTTCATTAACATTTAACGACTGGGCCGGTTGTGAAAACACCGGACTATTATCGTTCTTATCAACTGATGGATTTAAAATCATGTAACACTTAGATAAAACATGGTAAAACAGCAATTTATGTTGCATAGTGTACTAATATGCAACTATGAGTAGATATCTAAAAGCGTAAGTACTGTTAAACAGAAACTATCTCAATCAGGTCGTGAAACCAACGATTTTGGGCAGTATCGAGATAGCCCGACCACTGGTCCGCGGACCACTGTCATGAACAACAACAACTATTCCAATTCCTGACAGGGTACTCTTCTGTCTAATGGACGAAATTAATGGACCCACCGCCTCCCTAGAGAATGCTCAAGACTTCCTATTCCAGAAAAACCTCCTAAAGAGCTCCATGTCCTGTCCTGGGTGTAATGCATCTATGTTGATGGTAGAAATGATTGATGCAGTCTGATAATAGTTATTCTTTATATATTGCATGATGTGAACTGATCTCGAAAGCTTGCTTAATCGTTTAATAAGCCTTGACACCACCGCTGATTGGAATTCGCGTGCGATGATGTGAACCCTGCTTGATTCAGGGGATGATGTGAACCCTGCTTGATTCAGGGGATGATGTGAACCCTGCTTGATTCAGGGGATACTGTTATTATACAGTAATATGATCTGGTAGACAGTGGTCCGCAGACAGTGGTCCGCGGACAGTGGTCCGCGGACCAGTGGTCGGGCTATCTCGATACTGCCCGATTTTGCTGGGCACAAATGTATAAAAATGTTTTTTTCCCTGATAGCAGACAACTTGACTCACCAATATTAACGGTAATTTGATAAGTAATAAAGTAAGGGTTGACATCTAATGTACAATCTAAAGATCCGAAATAACTTGATGTGGTTTCCCTGTCCAATTCCTTTGCAACTTGCAAATAACCACTGTCATTTATTTTACAGCATTCATCTAAATCCTGAAATGGTTTTGGTAAAGTATCATGCGTATTTGTCTGAATTAATAGCAGACAATCTCAAAAGTGAATAATCATAATTGATTAAAAATGGATTATGGAACTGTGGAAGTAACATAAAATCAAGAAGAATAAAAAGTTCATGTGAAAGGAATTTGAGTCACTACACAAATCCACAGTCCAGTATACTTACTTTGAGTTCATATTTTGAACAGATGCCAGATAGATCATAAAAGATATCATTAATTGTAGCATCTTCGCGTAGGCTTAAATCATAGTCTGTTCCAGTAGCAGACACAATCTCATATAGCAATAGCGTCAAATAGATGATCATTCCTGTTTGAAGGATATTTTTAGTTAAACACAATATTTCAAGAATATTACCTGCCTCCCAAAAAATACACTCTGGATAAGGCATTCAAACTAGAGGCTTGCAGTATAGCGATTTCAGAAAGAACTTAATATCATGTAAGAGCCAGCCGCAAAAATAATGCAAACAAAATTATGTCTATATTACGTCATTTGGTAACAACTCCATTTGATAACCCTCCAAACCCGCAGAAATCTCAAAACAACACCAGCAGAAATCTCAAAACAACTGAGAGAGTGGCAAAAAAATTGGTTCTCTATCTTGCCACATAATTAAATTACAGAGATGATCCAATTATATAGGAGCAAATCATGTCTACACAATAATAAATTGCCCTTCTCAAGAGGACCTCCGTAATATTGCTGTAAAATGGGCTCCTGAAAGGCGTATTTATCAGACCTGACTAAGAAAGTTTGAAAGTTCTGACACAAACGAAAATAAGTTTTAAATTTGTTGAAAATCTGTATAAAAGGCTTCACTGTTCAAACAAGAGTTACTATTGTGGTGTCCCTATTAGCGCACCCCTCGGCTTAAAATAACAAACCCTAATTACACAGCAACAATTGCTGTAAGACGTTTAAACTTCTGACCTCTTTGCAGTCTACATTACTATAACCTGTTATAAAATTATTACTTTGCAGTTTCACATTTTGAAACTGATATTTCATTAACAGTTCCATTGTCCAAAGCCTCTTTTACATTTTATAGAAATGATAACCATTTAACCAACCCATTGAACTCCAACCAAACGGATTGGCAGAAAAATTGCAGGTTCCAATCTAACCATCAAAACGTATAACAAAACATTTTTGGAAACATTCTACACAATCTCTCTTCTATTTCAACTATAACTTCATGTTCTAAATAACTGCACCACTTATAACGATCCAGACAATGATTTCCTCTCTTCTATAAAATGTTATTAATCACAAAAGAGTTTTAATATAATAAGGATTTCATCTAATTAATAAATACAGATACTGAAATATCATGGGCTTGATCAAATTAAAAGTCGTTACTAATACTTAATATCATCTTGGCATTGGATGAGGTTACAATTTATAAACTAATTTAGTATAAAAAGGTTTTTTAAAGTGGAGTTCCCACCTACGAGTGCAACACTCGAGTGGTGGCTGAGAGGTGGGCCGCGCCACCTGAGAGGTGGCGCGGTATATGCAGAGTATGATAATGTCAGCCTTGCGGTGCGGCTGACATTAGCTTTCATTACGTTTGGATTATCGCGTCCGCGGCAAGGCTGACATTATCATACTCTGCATACACCGCGCCACCTCTCAAGCGCGCCACCTCTCAGCCATCACTCGTAGGTGGGAACTCCACTGTGATAGACTACTTAGTAATATTACGCCTACTTAGGCATAAACACAATTATTATCCATAAAATTTGCAATATTATATAAAACTAGAAAACCCGTGGTCATAGGGAGGAAGCTAATAGTATTTTTTGTTAGTAAGTTTTTCTCGCATCAAAAAATATCCGTCACAACCAAAGATACAGCCGATTTAAATGTTGCTTGTACTAAACACAGCGTAATATCAACAAAACCGATCAAAATGACGTTAAAACAATCATTGCACGTGCACGTGCGTGTAACAATTCTCGTTACTATGGTTACTTTGCAACCTTTTTCTTTTTTACCTAATTTGCACGTGGGCGGTCGTACATACATACATTCTACAGAAACAATTCTCTGAATTATAGTAGAGATAAGCCGAAATAAGTTATAGAGTTCATTCTGTAACTGACTTCATATTAAAAATTGACTATGTCCATAACTCGAGTATTTTCGTTCACCCTATCTGCATTTTCCATGACGGAAACAAACAAATCCTGGACTTCCTGGGCATCTTTACAATTATTGTCTTCGTCACAGCAGCAAGTTTTTTTTTTAAAAAAACAAGGTTACAAGATAGTGCGGGTGATGCTAAAAAGACTTATTCCATCGTTAATAAGTTGCTCAATAAAGAAAAAGTTAGTACTACTACACCTTCTTGCTCTTCAAATCTTGAGAGTGCTAATAACTTTGCACAGTTCTTTAAATCAAAGGTCGACAACATATACAACAACATTTATTTAGAACAACAATCCCAAGATTCTCCTAACTCAGATGAATTTGTTCCTCTTTCTAATAGCCCAAAGATAGTACAATTCCGTCATGTGTCTGATGAAGAACTAGTAAGCATCATAAAGAATATGTCAAACAAATTCTGTGATCTTGACCCCATACCTACAAAGATTCTCATCAAGTGTCTCCCAGAACTCCTTCCTCTGATCTCATTTATAGTCAATGAATCATTAGTTAAAGGTGAGTTTCCTATAAAACTTAAGGAGGCTCTCATTCGTCCAAGTTTGAAGAAACGTGGCCTTGACGGTGAATCTCTATCTAACTATAGGCCTATTAGCAATCTCTCATTCTTGTCAAAAATCATTGAGAAGTGTGTATCTATACAGCTCACCAGTTATCTTGAGGATAACAACTTGCTTTCTAAAGTTCAGTCCGGCTATAGGAAGTTTCATAGCTGTGAAACTGCAACAACCAGAATCCATAACGACATCTTGATAACTATTGACAAGAAAACTAAAGTTGTTCTTTTACTTCTAGATTTGAGTGCTGCCTTTGATACTGTCAATCACCCAAGATTAATCAAGAAGCTAAGATCTGCTTATGGCATTACAGGCATTGCTCTTACATGGATCAGGTCCTACTTGGCTAACCGTTCATTTTGTGTCAAAGTCAAGGATTCGTCTTCCTCAGCAACTGTTCTTGAGATAGGTGTGCCACAAGGTTCAATCCTTGGCCCCCTGCTATTCATATTGTACACCAAAGATCTTGAGAACATTGCAAGTATGCATGGGTGCTGTATTCATTTGTATGCTGATGACACCCAGCTGTATTTCACTCTTGATTCTGATGACCCATCACAGCTAGAGCACAATATGGAACACTGTATGTCTGATATCAAGAAATGGATGACAAACAATTTCCTTCAACTGAATTCTTCTAAGACTGAAGTCATCGTTATATCCTCTAAATTTGACTCACAAAATATTCCAGCCTCTCTACAGATTGTTAAGGATCAAGAGCCACATGTTGTTAGTGGAACTGTGAAGAGTCTTGGGCTGTATTTGGACAGTTATCTTTCAATGAGTGATCAGATTACGTCAGTGGTTCAAGCATGTAATATTCAGATCAGAAATTTGTGGTTTATTGCATCAAAACTGTCTTTTAACCTTAAGATTCAGCTTGTTCATGCTCTAGTACTCTCTAGAATTGATTATTGCAATAGCGTATATTTTGGACTGAGCTCTTATGATTTAAGTCGTTTACAGAAGGTGCAAAATTCTGCTGTAAGATTTATTTTCGGGAGAGGAAGAAAGGCACACACTACTCCACTACTTAAGAAAGTTCATTTTCTACCAGTTAGATTTAGAATAGATTTTAAGATTGCCCTACTTGCCTACAAGTGTTTAAATAATATAGCTCCTCCTTACTTAAAAGAGTTGATATCTCCTAGGCAGCAAAGTTTTAAAAATGTACGTCTTGATAATGATTATTTTTACCTTAGTTTTCCGCCCTCTCCTAACTATGTAAACACAGAGAAAGCTTTTAGTCACTGTGCAGTTAAAGTATTTAATTCCTTGCCATACGACATAAGATCAGCTGAGTCAGTTACATCTTTCAAGACCAAACTTAAAACATACTTCTTTTCTCTAGCATTTGATTGATTTTGCATTTACATAGGTAAAATGAACTTGTCATGTCTAATTTTCAATTAAACTAAGCTCAGTTAATGTAAGAGCCGCTTTAGAAAGCACTGGAGTTTATCTCCAGGATTAAACTATATCGAGTTATATGATTTAGCTATAAGGCGGTTTATAAATGTTGTATTTATTATTATTTATTTTATTATTAAGTTGTGTAGTTCAAGGCCCCGTTAACACTGTGATATAGCACCACTTGGTTTGAAAAGAAAGGACACCAGTAAGATACCACCGTATCGGTTGAAGTCATCTCACCCCAGCTGTATTTGGTGGGGTACTTGAACCCTACCTGGTTACTCGGCAGAAACTCGCAGTAGGTTCCCTCTATCTGGGTGAGAGTTGAAGTACTCGGAGTGTGTCCCTGTCTCCACTCCTTCTTTGTACTTCGCAAACAAAGGAAACCTCTTCTCCTCGATACAAGATTTGAGCTGGTGGCTGATCTTTTTAGCCGTCTCCAAGAGCGTGGTCTCTTTGGTTATCTTCTCACTTGTTTCAACCTCAGCAATGCAGAGCATAAAGCTCTCATCCCCTGGATCTGGATCTACCCGGCTCCTGAGGTTAGCAACAACGGCTCTTACTAAATCGCTCGCCCAAAAATTTCACGTGACTTTGGTTTTTTTGGTTTTGCAGCCGTACAAAACGGTTTTACATAAACCCTAATCCCAACCCTAACCCTAACCATAACCCCGAAGCTATCCATAATCTTAACCAGAACCCTAACCCTAACCCGAGCCCTAAATAATCGAATTCACGTTTTACTAGCCTGTCACGTGACCAAAACGGTTTTTTGCCCATAACTCTCCAGGGAAGCATTTTAACCCTACGTCATGGGGGGTGATTCGGAATCAGCGTCCAAAAATACACCGATCTAGATCACTTTCATGCCTAAAGGGCCTTTTCACAAGAATTTTCTTAAAATTTGGGCGAGCGATTTAGTAGGAGCGAGCAACAACATCGGTGTACAATTTTGGAACCCCCTCTTCGGGAGACTCTCCTCCTTTTCTCTTAATGTGAACTGCAGCTACCGCGTAGAACAAAGCTGCAAAGCTGTAACAACCAACAGTCACCCTGATCTCTTGCACAGAGATAAATGGTGGCAATCTAAAAAGGTCGAAAGCCAAGGGAATTAACTTTGAATCCAAGATTGACCATTGTTAATAGTCTGGCCCGGCGCGCGCTACTTCGTAG